CACTTGACACACTTTCTTCACTACATGCAAAAAACAAAAACACTTTTCTTGTGTACATCCAGGGGAGCTGTAAATGGCTCAGGCTGTTAAAATGTAATGAATGATCAACAAGAACATTCTGAATGTTGCCTTCGGAACATTTTCTGAATGCACAGGGTCCATAAATGGGAGTTAGGGTTAGGAAAACCTGGGTCCTGTATATATCCAGTGCCCTGACAATAGCCTAGTTCAGGTAAATAAAGCAGATGGTCAGGAAAGATGCCCTGACTGCTGCTTTTCTGCATGTTGTCTGAATGTACAGAGAGGATGCCTGGATAGCAGCAGCAGCTGCAGATTTGTATGCCACCCCATAGACCATCGTGCTCTCTGGGCAACTTTCAATAGAACCAACCCCCCCCCCCCCGCAAAATCATATCCCATACAGATACAATATATTTGAGCAATACAATCAAGCAATACAATATTTAGCTGTAAGCAATATAAAATCAAAACAAAACATAATAGTAATACATAATATCAATACATAATACTATACATGATATCAATAATAATAAGATATAGCTATAATCCCCCACACACATGAAGCCCAATTACCTGTCACTACAATAAAAGAAACACAGCCACTCAGTTCCATGTGGATTACACCCACACACAACAGGGTAATGCAAAAGGCTCACAGAAAAAGTGCTTGGTCTCCAAGGCCTCACCCAAGGGAAGTACCCAGTGCGGTATGGCCTCCTTCTCCTGGCTGGCTCCTTTTGAGGTGTCTCTCCCCTCCCCTGCCTCCTCAACAGCCCTGCTGTTTCTCCCACAAACAGCAATGGCAACCCTACATATCATCCCTATACATTCTCTTTCTAAATTGGACAGCTATTTTGTGCACTTTTTCTAACCAGTAGTGAAATCTGTGCCAACTGTCACCTGAAGACTACAGAGCTGTTCAAATTCAGACAGTTTGCATGCAATCTTTTTGGTTTGTGCAAATTGTCCAAATTCTTCACAGATCAAACTACAGTCATGCATTTTTATGAATGCTTATGTGCAAAAGTTTCAGTGTGCAGTGATCATGCTGACTCAGTCAGAATTTAAGTTACCAGGAAATGGAGAACAACTTATGGAACAGAAGTAATGTATGTGAATACTCAGTTGCTACTTTAGGCAGTAATATTGAGAAACAGAAAACAATGCATTTAACAAGGGCCAGACTTATTGAATTCACACAGTATCCAAAGAGTGTCTGTATAGGAAGCTAAATTTTACCGCCATCTGATGACTGCTGAAATTTCTAAGTGATGCCACCCAAAATTTGAAAGTGTTATACTTGTGACTTCCCATGCTCAAGGTTGCACTTTTCTTGATGAGTCTCAAGGCACATCTGAAACAATATCCCTAAAGGACCCACAAGTCAATGTGGGAGCCAAGTTTAAACTGGAAAGCAATCTACAGCTGGAATGTGAAAGTTAGGCTGGAATCCACCTCCCTGGTATAAGCCAGACTTATTTGTGTGTCCAGCCCTGGGCAAACTGCAAGTCAAGCTAATATAAAACCCATGAATGCTCAGAAACATGCATGGCAAAGTATGTAACTCTTTCTGCAAAGTACACAAAGTTCGCAAGTCACTTTGCAGAAGCAGAACTCTGCTTTCACAGCAGGAGGAAGGTGTACAAACTGCCTCATGGGCTCCCTTGGACTTCTACCTGCCAGATATCCATGTCCATGTCTGTTGTGAGGTGGACTTAAGGCAGAAACATGTGAGCCAGAGTCCAGGGACACAAGCTGAGAAAATCTGACAGATTCTTACCACCAAACCAGGTACCTCACACATTGCTACCTACAGCCCTAAGGAAAAGGCCTGGGGAATAAATATTCACAATGAAGTCACCTCGGTATGCCTGATCTATGCCCATCTAGTCTAAAAATAACTTCTGTACGTGCCTTGGAATGCAACATAAGTAATGTAAGCTGAATGCATCAGTTTCCCTAAATAAACAGCTTCCTTGCCCAACATCAGTGCAGAGTAGGCAAACAAACAAATTTATTGCCAGGGCCAATTTGATGGAAATTTTATTCATTCACTTATTATATTTATATCCCATAGGTTATTTTTTTAATTTTCCCTGCAAAATAAAATTTAGAAAAGCACATACACTTGGTTGGTTTACATGATCCTCTTCTCGATTTTACCTTCACAACATCCCTGTGAGTTTGGTTAGGGTGGGAGTAAGTGACTGACCCAAAGTTACCCAGGAAGCATCATGGATGACATTGGACTAGAACTGCAGTCTCCTGAGTTCCAGTGCAACCCCTGTCTCCTGGCACCATCACACCTTTCACTGCTATGTCAGCAAATTGTTCCCACATCTAGGCTTCCTGGCCATAACTGTTCTGCAAGGTTATGCAATACAAGACTGACTACTTACATGCAAAGTTGCATGATAGCTTAATTTAACAGGCAAACACTATAGGCACATATTTTAGGGTACAGGCCCAGATCAAAATATTTTTGACAAAGCAGCCTTGATCTCTTTGTTTCTCATGCTGTAGATGAATGGATTCAACATGGGAGGAATCATAGCATATATCACTGCAAAAGCTATATCCAGATCAGAGGACACATTAGTGAGAGGCCTTGCATAGGCAAAAACTGCACTGAATACAAACACAGAGACAACAATGAGGTGGGGAAGACAAGTGGAGAGAGCTTTTCTTTTTCCATGTACAGAGGGGATTTTGAGCACTGCAGCAAAAATCTGCATGTATGTTATGATAATAAAAACACAGGATGCCACTACTGTACTAGAGCTCAGTACAATAAGCCCAACTTCCACCAGATAAATATCAGAGCAGGAGAGCTTAATTAACTGTGGGACTTCACAGAAGAACTGATGGACAATATTAGAGCAAAAGGTGTTTGCAAATGTGCCACCAGTATGTAAAATGGCATAAAGAAGACCGATACTCCACCCAATGGTGACCATCTGTAGACAGGCTCCTTTGTGCATGATCCTCTCATACTGGAGGGGGTTGCAAATGGCAATGCAGCGATCATGTGCCATAATAATTAGGACAGAAAAATCTGTTGCCGCAAAGAAGAGAAAAAAGAAAACTTGAGCAACACATTCAAAATAAGAAATTGTCCTTTTTTTCACGAGGAACATAGCCATGGATTTGGGTACCATGACTGAAACTGTCCCCATGTCCAGAATGGCCAGATTCATCAGAAAGAAGTACATAGGGGTGTGTAATTTATGATCAAGGGAAACTATAATAATGATGAGAAGATTCCCTATCATTGTTATCAAGTATAGTGCTAAGAATACACAGAAGTATAAAATCAGAAGGTCTTGGATGTTTGAGAATTCCAGTAGTATAAAAGTGGTTGTGAAAGTAAGGTTGTTCATTTTCTGTTTCTTGCTTGCCTGTGGGAAGAAAAAAAGCTGCCATTAACAGTATTAAACAGTGACAGAGAATTTAATTCTGCCCTCCCTTTTATGGTCCTGAGAAAGATCACACCTATGCTATTTTCACTGGAAAGGAAGCTAGTAATGACATTGACCGGAGCTGTTTTTCCAAAATAAATAGCCACTGTTTGTCGTCAATCTTTGCCGGAAGCAACTAGGATAGGTATAGTCCTGCTCATATTTGGCTTGGGCTTTAGACAGTGATTGTAGGAAACATTGGTTTGGCAATTTTTGAATTGTTCTCATTCTTATTCTCCCCCTCGATTAGGCTTCTGGTGTTTAAACCTTTCCTTAAGGCAGTATTCAGAGTTTGGAATAAGGTATAATCCCCACTTTTCATATTTGCAATTCTGCAGGATCTAAATGTGGCTCACACTGTCCAGATTCCAAGATACTTTACCTCCAAACTTCAACTAGGAGAATGTCAGAACAGGAGAGTTTTAATAACTGAGCAATTCACCTTATTAGAAGGTGTTTGTAAATGTAATGCAAATGTGTAAGACCTGGCATACAGCAAAACAGTACTAATACAAAGACCAAATACAAACAAAAATATTAACATGGAAACAAACACATGTTTGCAAAAACATTCACAAAGAAAAGAATTGCACTTTTATACAATCAAAGAGATGTTTTGGAGGAATGCTCAACATCCAATAATTTCCACAAGGCAGCCTTGATCTCTTTGTTTCTCATGCTATAGATGAATGGATTCAGCATGGGAAGAATTATGCCATATAACACAGCGAAAGCAATGCCCAGATCAGGAGAAGCATCACTGGGAGGCCTCGCATAGGCAAAGATTCCACTGAATGCAAACAGAGCGAAAACAGTGAGGTGGGGAAGACAAGTGGAGAGGGCCTTTTTCTGGCTGTGTACAGAGGGGATTCTGAACACTGCAGAAAAGATCTTCACATATGTTACGATGATGAAGATGAAGCATCCTAGCCCTATATTACAACTTAGCACAACAATTCCAACTTCAACTAGGTAAATGTCAGAGCAGGAGAGCTTTAATAACTGTGGGATTTCACAGAAGAACTGACTGATAATATTGGAACAGAAGGTGTTTGCAAAGGTGCCACAAGTGTGCAATGTAGCATAAAGCAGACCCGCAAGCCACCCAAAGGCTACCATCTGAAGGCAGGCTTCCTTGTGCATGATCCTCTCATAGTGGAGTGGGTTGCAGGTAGCAACATTGTGGTCATGGGCCATGATAGTCAGGAGTGAAATATCTGTGGCTGCAAAGAATGCGTAAAAGAAAACTTGAGCCACGCATCCAGAGTAAGCAATTGATCTGTTATTCGTGAGGGACATAGTCATGGATTTGGGAACAAGGACAGAAATGCTTCCCAGGTCCACCATGGCCAAATTGATGAGGAAAAAATACATGGGAGTGTGCAGATGGTGGGCAAGGGCAATAGCAAAGATGATGAGAAGATTCCCTGTTACTGCTGTCAGATACAATACCAGGAATATGAGGAAGTGTAAGATCTGCAGTTTGCAGATGTCTGAGAATTCCAGCAGCAAAAATGTAACCATGAAGTAAGATTGCTCATGTTATCTTCTGTGCTTGAAGTCACCTATAGGAGGAAAGAGAAGAGAACTAATATTGAGAAATTGGAAGTGCATCGGACCCACCTAAACGCTGTAGCCTGCCCCAAATTGAGTCCCTTTCCATCTATCCTGGTGCTGTTCAAGAGATGCTGGCTTCCCTTGGAAGTGATCAGAAGTCAAGTTGGACCTTGCAGGAGATTTTTAATGCAATACTGGCTTTAGAAAGGCAATGTGGCCCCAAAATTACAGACGCTTCTTAATGGTGCTCTCAACTAGGGGCAAGTCCCTATTTTTGAAGGGATGAAATGTGCAAGTTTTGTTTGTTTAGGATCAGTCTTATCCAAGCACAAACTAAATACCTTCCTGATATTAGTGATCCTGACATGCATGCCCACCCAGATTGTGCGTGTGTGCTTGTGTATGTGTGAGTGCGAAGATACTAAGCAGTTTGAAGTGACTTTGGTGCTCCTTCTATGAGCCTGACCTTCCATTCATGCAAGGCAGATCCTGGATTAGACCATTGTTCATGAAATTTGGGCAAGGGCGCATATATGGGAAAAGGATTCTGAAGATTCCCTCCTGCTCCCAGCACCCTGTAGATTGTTTTCCCCACTCTTCCTACTTATAGTTTTATGACAAATTGTATGCTACTCCTGTGTATAAAAGTAAAGCAAAACTGGACATGTTAAATGTTGCAACTATTCCTAGCAAAGCGAGCTGCAGATAAACACCAAGTGACTTGGGTTTTGTTTAGACTGCAACTGCTTCTTTTAGACAGCTACAATCCCTGAAAATTGAACAGTGTTAATCAGCCTGGTGTAAAAGCAACTGAAGAATTCTGGGGTGACCAAAGGTTACCAGTCCTGCTACTTGGTGTTTCTAAGAGTTCAAGAAATGGTACAGATGAATTGAGGTTTTATCTTCCTACAGAATGCAGCACATAATCTGTGCAGATTTTTCCCCAAGTAGATACTTCTGCAGAACACGAAATGCATGGAAGCAATGTTGGAGGATTGAACTCATACAAGGAACCCTTTGCTCTGGTTTCTCAAAGAAAATAATCTCATTGCACAGCTTCCTGGTAATGGAGTGACTTCTACCACCACACATACATATGTACACCTCAAATGTCTAATTTTTAATCTAAATGTTAATTCCAAGGTCTTCACTGTATTCACTAATACCTTCACTGGTTCATACTACTGTGTCAACATAGAAAACTTTCAGTAAACTGCATTTTGTCATATGAAGTATTTGAGAGCCAACTGAAGATACCTTAGGAAATGCATGGTCAAAAGAAACTGCATGGATTGGTTCAGTGATTCTCCTTTAGCCCCAGCAAGTTCAGTAACTAGAAGAACTGGGCGAGCAGCAGCTCCTTTCAAGCAAAATTGTGTGTATATGCAAAGAATTTGTCAGCTTGGATGTCAGAGAAGAGGAACAAAAAAGACTGAGCACAACTCTGGACTGAGCCTGGTGCACAATACGCAACGAGATTTACCCAAACCCCTGCAAGCCTTTCCAGTGGGCACCCTACCTTCTGCCGTGGACGTCCTCCTCCAGCTGCTCCAGCTGCTTCAACTGATCAGTTGCCTGGAGGGTGCAAGTCGAAGCATCTCCTCATGCAAGCAACTGCACTCATGCTGTGGCAACTGCCACAGAATGTGCTGCTAGTTATTTGCATCCACCATAATATTACAGTGTCTGCAGAGTTAGAAGAAAGAGACCAGAGCGAGTGGCAGTGTATCGCTACAGTCTACCTGGGAATAAGCATCTTTTCAACTTGCTTGGGCTTCTGTGGACATTGCTCCCAAGAGGCATGCACACTGAAAGAGAACAGGTTGTTGAATTTCCCTCCTACACTTACAGCTAGAATGGGGAGTCAGTGGAAAGCAAATCCCTATCCTCACATCAAAGGTCTTTAAGTCTTCAGATGGCAATTGAGACAGTAATGGCTTACTAATATTAGGAGCAACTTCATGTGTGAAAATAATCGGGTCCTAAATTTGCAGCAACTGATAGTTACATCATGCATGGAAAGGATAGCCATTTATTACTGTTTTGGATTCTTGGGAACTTACCCCTGAGAGAAACTCCCCACACAACACCAAACACACACGCACACACTCACACACCCCATGCTCATTTATCCTTTTGTAGGACAAGCAAACAAACAGATAATTAGAAGATGCCATATTTTTCTGAATATGTAATAAACAAGGGATTTTTGCTATCACTATTTTGAAGTATTGTTGGCAATAATATAATGTTGAAATATCTCAGGATATGTGTAGTGGTCATATGAGTAAACAGAATACTTCCATAAAAATATGGGAATGCAATGAGTTATGATAATCGATCCAGAAAAATCCAGTTATTAACCTCAAGAGAGCACTTTGATAGGTGTCAGTGCATGCCAAGAAAATGTGACACTTCTTATTCCAGATTGGGCAATATGGACAGCCTAACTCTGAACCCTTGAAAGATCAGATTGGCATTTTTGGGGTGAGGGGGGCCTTTCTTTTCTCCAGGCTAAACATGCCCAATTCTTTCCATCTGTCCTCATAGGGCTTTGTTTCCAATCCCCTGGTCATCTTTGTTGTCCTCCTTTGATCCATTTCCACTTTTTCTGTCTTTCGTGAAGTGTGGCACCCACAACTGGACACAATACTCAAGATGGGTCCTAAGTAGTGCTGAACAGAGGGGAATCAGCACCTCACTTGATTTGGAAGCGATACTTAAGGCAGCCCCAACTCTCCTTTGCTGTTTTGCAGGCACATTGCATTGTTGGCTCATATTCAGCTTGTGATCTACAGCAATTCTGGGATCCTTCTTGCTTGTAGTATTGCTGAGCCAACTATCTCCCATCTTGTACATGAGCATGTGGTACTCTTTTCCTAGCTGTAGAACTGGTCATTTGTCCCTACAGAAATTCATTCTGTTACTTTCAGCTCAGTGCTCCAGCCTCCCAAGATCACTTGGAATTGTGTTTCTGTCTTCCAGGGTGAGGCTAAATTATTTATTTTGTGTGGATCTGTGATCTTCCCATGTCCTGAATGCAGCATTGCTGGCAAAAGAATAGTTCACCCATTTCCTGCCATATTTTTCCTGCTCAGACGACACTTTCAAACCACTTATTCACTTATGGAGAAGGTTATAAAGGGAGAAGGACTGAAGTGTTCAAAATTATCCATGGTGTTGAGGAAGTAGAGAGGGAGATATTTCTCTCACTTTCCCATAAGGTAAGTACCAAAGGTCACACCATGATGTAGGCGGGAGATGCAAGACAGATCAAAGGAAGTGCTTCTTCACACTGTGCTTAGCTGAACCATGGAATTTCTTACTGCACACTTTGAACAGGCCATTGTAATATTTCCTAGTTTTATTTAATAACTTACTGATCATATTTTATATTCAAATGTATTTTCTACAGCTGAAGGTGACTGGGTTATGGAGGAAATTATTGTATGAATGGAGAGGAAAGCATTAACACAAGAAGGTTCATAAATCTGAATACTTATAGAACCCTACACATATTTATGGTAATTTTTGAGGTATGGAACTTTAACTCAAAAACTGTGATTATCAGCCATGCATGTCAAAAATGTGTTGGAGTGGCTACTTATGGTACAATTTCTCTCCCAACAGATTAAATCCTTCATTAATCCCTAACTGTACTTCTCTGAAACACTGACTATTTTTTATCTTCCTGAATGAGTGTGCTGAGGCCAAAAATTCACTTTTGTTCATTGCCTGCCCATGACAGAGAAGGAACACCATCAAGTAATTTTTTATAAAATATAACATTACATAACTGATCCTTATTGTTTGGCCATCAAAAAATTTTCTTCATGTGGTTGGTACTAGACTCTATCATGTTTCTGTTATTCTTTGACATATTTATTTTGACCCAGATGCTCTCAATAGGACTATCAGACTCATTTTCTTGAATTTCTGTGCAGGGATAACTATTTTTAACATATAATGTAACTCTACCTCCCTTTTTATTTTGTGTGATCATTTTGAATGAGTTATACTCTTCAATCACTATATTCCACTTATGGAAGCTATCCAAACATGTTTCAGCAGTGCTCATCAACTCTTATTTGCCTTCATGTACTACAAGTTCAAGTTCATTCTGCTTCTTTCCTATGCTCTGGCAATCATGTATAGACACTGAAACCCATGTGCTGTAAGGTCTGGCTTCTTTCCTACATTATTCTGCAGGCTATTGGGGAACTACGAGTGTTCTTCTCTCTGCTTGGGCCATTGGTATTTTGACCTGGGCAAAGTCCTACTTCCTACTGCCCTGGCCGCAACTTCATCTCTGCCCTAATGTTTTCTAATAGAAGGAATAACTGTTAATTGTACAAACTTAATAAGTATAGAAATAGCCATTTCCATGCAGAAAATGATATAGCCCCTTGCTTACAGAAAAATTCTACAGGCAGTTTCAGAGCAAACCCCTAAATCTTATTAGCTTCCACAAAGCAGCCTGGATTTCTTTATTTCTCATGCTGTAGATAAACGGATTCAATATGGAAGGAATTATAGTATAAATCAGAGCAAAAACTATGTCTTGATCAGAAGCAACATCACCAGGAGGTCTTGCATAGGCAAAAAGCCCTGTGAATACAAGCACAGAGACTACAGTCAGGTGGGGAAGACAAGTGGAGAGGGCTTTCTTTTTACCATGCACAGAGGGGATTCTGAGCACTGCAGAAATTATCCTCATGTATGTTAGGAGAATGAAAATGAAGCAGCCTAGTGCTGCACTACAGCTCAGTACTAGAAGCCCAGCTTCAACGAGGTAAATGTCTGAGCAGGAGAGCTTTAGTAACTGTGGGACTTCACAGAAGAACTGACGGACAATATTAGAACAGAAGGTGTTTGCAAATGTGCTACCAGTATGTAAAGTGGCATAAAGAAGACCAATAATCCACCCAATGGTGACCATCTGTAGACAGGCTCCTTTGTGCATGATCCTCTCATACTGGAGGGGGTTGCAGATAGCAACATTGCGATCCTGTGCCATTATAATAAGGAGGGCAAAATCTGTTCCTGCAAAGAAGAAGTAAAAGAAAACCTGGGCAATGCATCCAAAATAGGAAATTGACCTGTCATTCATGAGGGACATCGCCATGGATTTGGGCAGCATGACTGAAACTGTCCCAATGTCCAGCATGGCTAAATGCATCAAGAAGAAGTACATGGGGGTATGCAGGCTGTGATCAAAAGCTACTGTAATGAAGACAAGAAGGTTCCCTGTTAGTGCTGTCAGGTACAATGTCAGGAACACGAAGAAGTGCAAGAGCTGCAGTTCTCGGATGTCTGAGAATTGAAGCAGCAGAAACGGCATCATGGAAGTAGTATTGCTCATTTTGTCCTCACTACTCACCTACCACCTGCAGAAAGAAGAAGGCAAAAACTCTAAGTCTGGTAATATAAATTAGTTCTCAACAGGCTGTGGAGGTATGTTCAACAGATAAAATGGACAAGCATTACTGCCTCCCTGGCAATGAGAAAACATGGGGGAATTGGACAATATGATGGGTCTTCCCATTCTCCACTGTGAGGAGCTATGAGCCTGCTCTCAAAGCTGGTCCAGAGAGACAGGGAATGCCGCAGTGTTGCTTGGATGATACAGAGATGTGCTTTTCCTTCCAGCCAGCAGAAAATGCATGCCCCCCCCTTTTTTTTTTTTGCTCAGATTTCCACCTGCAGAACCCAGGGGAACAACATAAGAAATGGTTCCCTTTCCATAAGAGAAAGAACTTCCACAATGGAGTGCACTCCAACGTTGGAATTCAGTTGCTAGGGAGAAGTTACTACTTAGAGGTCTCAAGGATTACCGGGCATGGAAGAGAATGGTTGCACTGTATCCAAGTAAAGCAGTGTGTGTGTGCATGTGAAGGAGAGTGGTCGATGGGCAAAAGGGAAATTAGAGCACAGTCCTCATTTCTTGTTCAGGAATGCAGGTGTGGTCTATGTAAAACAGAAAATACCACTGTGGAAGGAAAAAGAGAGACTGGTTTCATGAAATCAGTGAGGAGAAATGGGTCATCATGACTTACTTTCCCCACTCACACTTGCTGGGTGTCAGATCACTAATTAACATGATTACCCTTTGCTGGTAATCAATTCTTGTGACCTCTGAATTTGGTGAAACTGGGATGGTTTAAAAACCTTGCTGAAACACATGGTTTTCTCAAAAGATTCAGGGTGGTTTGTAAATCATCCCACACACCCATCGTCTCCAGATAACATGTCAAGACATGTCAGGATGACTAATTAGGCTAATTATGTGCTTCGGACCCAATGTTCAAGAGAGGGATTAAACCACCATTGTTTTTTACCCCCCTTTTCCAGTTTCCCCCCTTTTTTCCAGGCATACCCAGGATTTTGGTACTTTAAAAAGGGATTATGGTACTTAGCAGTTTTATGCAGAAAAAATTAACAAGATTTTTATTAAATGAAAATTAATCATGTTGCCAGAATTGCCTCTTCTTCCTCCATGTACTTGTGTGCTGCCTCCCTTGTGTGCTAACAAACTGCAGATAGTAGAGATTGAAGGATGGAAGCAGCCATTTCTACAGCCACTCTTGCCAGGAAGCTTCTAATGTTTCCATTCCCACAATGGTAAAATAGTGACCCCAGGTCGAGATGCCAGAGAAGTCACATTGAAGCATGGAAACCTTCGGACAGACTCCTGATTCTCTCCATGGTTTCACAAAACTTATCCTACCACGGAGCAACTCTGGAACTTGGACTGGACAGCACCCCAGACCTAAAAGAGTAACATTTCACCTTGGCTTCTCCTGTGTGTGAACCTGCTCAATGAGGCCACACTGTACATGTCTAATGTAAAAACCTATAAATAAAGGCCTAGCCTAGGGTAACAGACCAATGTGAATTCAGATGAATGGATGTCACTGGCTCAGAAGGCCACTTTTCATGCCAAAGCATGTCCAGTGGATGAAACCAATCCAATGTGGGTTTGTGTTCATGTGCAAATAAACACATAACTAGTGCAATTGTTAAGGCAGCTGCATAACCCTGAAGATCATTAGTTACATGAGGTTTCATTGCTATCATCATCCTATACTTTCATCAGTGGACCAAACTGAGAAACAATTAGAACCATCTTAATGACTAAATAGGTAAGGACACACAAGTTATCTCTCTACTACCACCACCTGGACAGAGCAAGTTGACTAGGAATGGCTATGTGGAGGCATATCTCATGAGGGTCTTCCCTTAAGAATCCTGTCACATCCTTTTAAAAGTGTTATATTAAGTACAATAAGTAATTATTCAGTTCTGCTGCCACCATAACATGTGAAACCTCTTATTTACTTAGAACCCTTTACTCGTAAACTACATGGATAAAGCAAAACAGAACAGAGGTTGGTACAAGTGAAACAAGGGCATGGTGAATGTATTTTAAGTTCAGTTCAACTATGGCAGAGTATACTTACTTCAAGCTGAGGAGCCTTAAAAAGCAAAATATTATATATTCCTTCACATGCATTATGTATGTATGTATGTGTGTGTGTGTGTGTGTGTGTATATGTGTACATATATATATATATATATATATATATATATATATATATATATATAGTTACCATATGCTATTGTGCACTATTGTGTATTGAAATACATCCCTCAGAATCTACAATGGAACTCCTTTTAGTTTAAGAAGCAGATGCTGTGATAGCTAGAGTCACATGTCCTATCCAGCCCTTAAGTGTGTACTAAAATCGTTGTGTGAAAGCAACAACTATGAAATGGACTGAGACTCCATATTCATTCTGTGCACACAAGCATTTAATTGTTCAGTAAGCCAAGCTCCAAACCAAACTCCATCCAGGCAGATGCAGAAGGATGCACTTGCATCTTTCCCTCTGGTTGCTGTTCACTGAGGTACTTCTCATTCTTCTCCCAGGGATTCACCAAGAGTCATCCATTTCACCCAGCAACCTCTACTGATGCAGGTACACTGCCATGCACACTCTGTCTGGTCTCTCCTTTCCCCTAAAAGCTTCCCCTCAGACTCCTCACTTTCAGTCCTTTCCCAGATCTTCCTTGAGCCAGTTTCTTCTGCAAGTTGCTAGTTCAGTTTTTCTTCAGCTGTTAGCCTCTGCTTCTCTAGGCTCTCCATAAACTTTTCAACAAACACCTCTCCTCTTCTTCCTCACAGTTCATCTAGAATGCTCTGCCTCTGGGTCCTCATATCTGCCTACCAACTATCTGGCTTCTCCAACTGGTCTTTACCAGTGCTGCATGAGTCTTGATGTTCTCTCCAACCAGGATCCTCCAGAAAATCAGCTCATTTTGCTGTGGAACTATTATGGACCAGGACACTTAATGTGGAATATCCACAAACTTGCCAATGCTAACTGTACAGTGGATGCTCACAGGAAACATTAATCGATAAATTGATAAGATGAAGGACAACAAAATCTGAGAAAATTTTTCAATTACCAAAATAATTGAAATGTTTCCAGATAGACACTGAGATCCAACTTCTCCTCAATCTTCTTTCAGGATACGATGCATCAAGAAGTCCATGCAATTGCTTTCAGGTAGTTGAGGCTGGTAGGATTTTCTTCTTTAGACTAGCATTAAAAGCTTTTCACATGTAAAGATAATTGAGATACTCCATGTATTACAGCATGGATGGAAAGGAGAGTCATTTAAACCTTTGTTGTTTTCTTGGGATTTTACGGTTGCCTGGAATAAAAGTCTCAAGAGTCCACACAACTGATCACAAACCACTGTTGCAATCCCCACCTCAGCTTTCTTAACCAGCTGAACCAGATAATGAGGGCATGGTAAATGCTTGAGGAGCCATAAAAATGACTACACTTCTTGAAAGGCATATCATTTAATCAACAAAAGATTCTACTCTATATAAGAAAATGCTAGGTTTCCAAAAGAAGATAAAGGAACAGGCATGGAATAAATCCTTCCTTGACGTATGACAATTGGATTTCCCAGGAAAACCAAAATACATGATTTGTTCCAACTGGACACCCAGAGAATAATCATGTCAGTTCTCATTGCTCCAGTACACCCTTCATCTGTGCATCAGCCATGCACAAATATTGAGGCCAACAACTGTTTTCCACATTCTAAATTGTTTCACTTCAGTTGCCCTCACCTTCATAAATTTAGGGAAGACCCAATATGATCAATAGGGATGACCTCAAAATTGGTTCCAGATTTGATACAGTCATTTATTTATTTATTTATTTATTTATTTATTTATTTATTTATTTATTTATTAAAACATTTCTATGCCGCCCCTTGCTGAAGCCTCGGGGTGGCTCACAACATAGAACCAACTGGTGAGTCTCTGCATCCCAGAGAGAGCTGTATGCAACCAAGAGACTTGTTCCTTTTGAGCCGCCTGCCACTTTGACAATATCTGAAAGGACTCCCTTCTCCTTGCTCTGTAAACCTGAGCCAGAAGAAGATGCGGTAGGTGGGTGTACAGGGCAAACAGCCCCTTAAGAGAGGCTAACTTGTCAGCAGCACCTCAATAATTTCAACAGCAAAATTAAATTATTTTTAGAGTATTTTGATTCTTAAATAGTATTTGAAATCACAACCCATATTCTGCAGCTTCTTTTCAAAGTCTAATGTTTTCTGGAGTTTTGCCTTTGTATACATCTGTACCATCAAAGCAACAAGTAGTTTGGTTCCTTGTCCTATTATTTTTCAGTGTAGTCCAAACCATTCATGAAGGCAATCCTATGGATGCTGAGACAGAAAAAATCTCCTACAACTCTTAATGCAGTGCTAGTCTAAACATTTTCCAGATTGAGTCCTTATTGACAAAGAAAACTGTTTGTGTATTTTTGTGCTAATGCAGCTGCCAAAAACATCAAAAATAAAAATAACTGCCAAGATTGTGCAACTATCCACATAAAGCGTGAAAACATGTTTTGGAGAGATTTGCATGTTTGAGTTGATGTAAGCAAAATCACATTTGCACACACACACATTTGCAGATAATTCAAGTATTCAGAGGGATGGAAGACCCTCTGAATCCATCTATTGGGGACCCTATCTATAGGCCCCCAATAGACGGATGGAGAAGTTTTTGCAGCAGGTTGGATTCCCATGTTCCCTCCTCGCCTTGTGTCTCATATGCACACATTCATGAGGCAACTACTCAGGAGCAGTGTCTGTGTACCTCCATCTTCCCTCCAAATGGTGGCACATATCCCATCAGTCCCTGCAGCTGGGAGCCAGTTCCAGCATGCCTGCCTCTCCAGCACTGGTCCGCACGGATCCCTGAGTATGTTTTCAGCCAGCCACTGCTATTTTTTCCCAGCTGCTCCACAGAACCCCCATCTACTCATTAGTGTAGAACAGCAGAGCTGCACTCACCCCCACCACCACACTTCCTGCCTGTGTGTAAGCATCCACACATGCTTCCCCCTTCACCCGCAGCACATGTGCCCGAATATCACCCCCTATGTGCAGGATTTGCACATGCTGCCAGGGCTGTCTCCCCCTGATAGCCCAGCAAATGGAGGACAGCAGCATGGGCACCAGTGACAGCAATGGAGGCAACATGGTGTGCCATGCTGGGCACACCCCTCTCTGGTGGCAAGGCCCATGCATCGCTCCAGCACAGGGTGGTGACAAGACAGGAGCTCCAGGTACAGCTGCCCTCATGACCATGCTGCTCTCTGCCTTCCCCAATGTTCCCCTGCCCTCCCACCATGTTATCACTGTGTCAAGGCTTCACTTCTCACTGCTGTGCCAGCTTTGAGAGGGCATTCAAGAGAGAGAGAGAGATGGCCATCTCATGAGGCATGCACAAGAGTGCATGCTGGGATGCAGGAGGAGTGTGGAGACAACCAATCATCTGTTGCTAGGTGGACAGAGCAAAGGAAAATGGCATCTGGAAAGGCTGCGGCCACTGTAGCTGTTCTAGCCAAAACAAGGAAGCAGCTGAAAAATGTTGTAACATAATGACAAACAATGCTGAAATGTCGAAACCTTAGAACAAATTATCAGTTCTCCATGGTGAATCACAGCAACCAAACATTTCACCATGCTTCCTGTATTCAAACATAACAACAAGCAATTCCTGCCATGGTTTCTTATGTGTGAAAACAGTGAATGTCTAGTTTGACTGACAGTGTCATTGCTTTCTCATGTGGAAGAGATCAACATGGCTATTGGACTGCCGGTATAGTTGTTCTCCTCCTGAACAAAAAAGAACCCTTTCTCCTTTCTACATTCTTCTTCGACTGGCTGCATACACAATGGCAAATTCTCCTTCCTGGTTGGACTATCCTCACAGAACAATCATGGAAACAGCATTAGGAGAATGCCAAACTCCTAAAAGCTTCCACGGGGCATTTTTGAGGTTCCTGTTTCTCAGACTATAGACCACTGGATTCATCATGGATGGAACTGTGGTATATATAATAGCAAAAGCCATATCTTCCTTAGATGAGGTGATAGTCAGAGGCCTCATATATGCAAAGATACCACTGAAAACAAAGACAGAGACAACAGTGAGATGAGAAAGGCAGGTGGAGGGGGCTTTTTGCTTCCCCTCCATGGAAGGGTTCCTCAGCACTGTGGAGAAGATCTGCACATAGGATAGGTTGCAATAATAAAAACAAAGCAGCTAAATGAAATACAACAACTAAGGACAAGAAGCCCAACTTCAACTTGGTACAGGTTTGAACAGGTGAGCTTCAACAGTGCTGGAACTTCACAAAAGAATTGGCTGACAAAGTTGGATCAAAAAGTGTTAGAAAATGTACACCAAGTATGAACAGCAGCACAAAGAAGACCACAAAACCAAGCACTAAGTGCCATCTGTATACAAGCTCTTTTGTTCATGATTGCCTCATATAGAAGTGGATTGCAGATGGCAACATACCGGTCATGTGCCATTATCGTTAGGAGGGCAAAGTCTGATACTACAAAGAAGAAAAAGAAGACTTGAGCAACACATGCAGAATAAGTAATCATCCTGCTCTTCATGAATGAATTTGCCATGGATTTAGGAAGAATGACTGAAATGGAGCCAAGGTTCATCATGGCCAAGTTCATGAGGAAAAAGTACATGGGTATGTGGAGGTGATGGTCAAGCACTACAATGGCAATGATGAGCAGATTTCCAATCATGGTTGCCAAGTACAACACAAAGAAGTGTACGGTTTGTAGTTCTCGGTTCTCAGAGATTTACAACAGCAAAAAGCCAAAGTTCAAGGTGAAATTGGACATCTTTCTGCATTTTGTGTTTCCTGAAAAGGTGGAAAAAGAACCATCACTCTTCTAATAATAGCCATAGTAGTTTACAAGTGGGAGTACAAGTGATGCTGTTCAGGATTCCATTTTTCTTTTCCAGTTCACATGCAACTGAAATACACAAGTTACATTTGATTCTTCTTTTGTAAAATTGCTAATGTTTTTATTTCTCTAAACCTGAGATGTTCACAGGCATGTTTCTTCCTCCCTCTCATTTCTGAGTTGCCACACTATGGCTACAATCCTGCTGTCATTCACCACCTGCATTTGCTATAGGAGGAGAAGATATTAAACCTTACTCCATAGAATATCTTAGGGTGCAGTCACATGGCTGCTAGACACAATCTTGTTTAGATGGCCAGAGGAAAAGTATTCTGAGCTCAGAACTGGGACTCAGAAGTTTGTGCTGGGGCTCTGGAGTTGGAGCACCCTTCCTCTGCCCTTACAGCTGGTGCAGAAAGCACCATGCTGGCTGAAGCTCTGGGGTTAGAAAACAAACCAAGATATTTTTTGGGTGTGGGGAGGAGCTGGGAGGAAGGACACATCCATATGCTGTAAGGAATCCTGCTGATGCCTCAGCATCCTCTCCTCAAAAGCCGGGCACAAACTTTGACATGACTGAAATGTTTTGGGGAACAAGAGGAATTCTGAGGCTACCCTTTCCTCTGCTTCTCCCACCATCTATAAGATGCCTATCACACTCTTAGTTCAGAAGGTTCTGGACAGCCACTTTGGATTTACTCTGCCATTCTGCATGGGCAGAAAAGACAGGATAAAATAATCAGTTCTTATCAAGAAATAGGCCACAACTGCTTTAAACCTGTTGCATGTGTATGTAGAAGCAAAATCAAAGTGAAAGAGAATTTTCACACTTATAATCAGTAGTACCTAAAACTGCAACAGCTGCTGTTGTTGATCAATCAATCAGAAACTGTATAGAAGAATCACATCTATTTTTTCTTCCTGTTTAAAATAGAGCTAAGTTCATTTAAGGAAATGATAATACATTATTTTAAAAAACCCTTATACTTTAAGATGCTATATAAAGGGCTTTCTATGATCAATGAAGCTCTAAACAGCTGGGAAAACACAACAGTGAAGAGTGGAGCCATTTCTGATTGTGGTCTTACGGTATGATCTCCCATGCTGTAGTTTGTTATGCCTTGGAGTTGAATGGGTTTTGGTGGCAGAGATGTCTGTTCTCTGCAACAGACACACACAGAGTTGGTTGATATGTCATGGCAGCCCGTCATAAGGAAGACTGTTAGAGATAAGAAGGAGATGAGACTGAGAAACAGGCACACATACATGTATTTTACTGAAATACATGTATGTGTGCCAAGTATCATTGAAAAAAGGAGTTAGCCAGTGTGGTGTAGTGGTTAAGAGCATGGGACTGGAACTCAGACTATCTGGGTTCGAGTCCCCACTCGGCCATGGAGCCAACTGGGTGACGTTGGGCCAGTCACAGACTCTCAGCCCAACCTACCTCACAGGGTTGTTGTTGTGGGGATAAGATGGAGGAGGAGAATGATGTAAGCTGCCTTGAGTCCTTTGAGGAAAAAGGCAGGATATAAATAGAAAAAATAAAATAAAATAAATAAATTCATCTTTTTCAGAGCAATAAGTGAGTCCATGTTTTTTCCATCCAAGCAATTTAAACTTTCTCTTGCAATGAACACAGCTTGTGACACTGTTTCCCCACCTTGGCTTCAACTTTTGCAATGTATTAGTAGCACATAGTTGTAAAGTGCACAGGAAGAAGAGCTGTTTAATCTTGATTTAGGTTCTTGGGATTTTACTCCCATGGGGGCAGTATGACATATCAAGAAAAATTACAGACCCTCCTGTAGCTGATGCAATACTTTTTGTAATGAACCTAAAGAGACAATTAACACTTGACACACTTTCTTCACTACATGCAAAAAACAAAAACACTTTTATGCCTGGATAGCAGCAGCAGCCGCAGCAGATTTGTATGCCACCCCATAGACCATCATGCTCTCTGGGCAACTTTCAATAGAACCAACCCGCCCCCCCCGCAAAAGCATATCCCATACAGATACAATACATTTGAGCAATACAATCAAGCAATACAATATTTAGCTGTAAGCAATATAAAATCAAAACAAAATATAATAGTAATACATAATATCAATACATGATACTATACATGATATCAATAATAATAAGATATAGCTACAATCCCACACACACACATGAAGCCCAATTACCTGTCACTACAAAATAGAGGCTGGTAGTGATAGCGAACAATCTCTGTAATAGGAGAAATGCTTATCAATTTTTTTAAAAAAAGTCATCTTTAGCGAAAGACTGAACATTACAGGAAAAATGGAAACAAAGCATTCACATGCAGGAGAACCAAAATAGGTTTTATTGAACAACACAGAATCATGTTACAGAGGAATGTTCAAAATCCAGCAATTTCATTAAAGCAACCTTGATGTCTTTGTTTCTCATACTATAGATGAATGGATTTAGCATGGGAGGAAGTATAGTATATATCACAGCAAAGGTTATGTCCAGAACAGAAGTGTCACTGGGAGGCTTCGCATAGTCAAATATTGCACTGAATATGAGCAAAGAGACAACAGCCAGGTGAGGAAGGCAGGTGGAGACGGCTTTCTTCTGACCATGTACAGAGGGGATCCTGAACACTGCAGAAAAGATCTTCACATATGTTATGATGATGAATATAAAGCATCCTACTGCTATATTACAACCTAACACAATGAACCCAACTTCAATTAAGTATATATCAGAGCAGGCAATCTTTAATAACTGTGGGATTTCACAGAAGTACTGACTGACAATATTGGAACAGAAGGTGTTTGCAAAGGTGCCACAAGTGTGCAATGTGGCATAAAGAAGACCAGCAAGCCACCCAAAAGCTACCATCTGAAGGCAGGCTTCCTTGTGCATGATTCTCTCATAGTGGAGTGGGTTGCAGATAGCAACATTGCGGTCATAAGCCATTATATTTAGGAGTGAAAGATCTGTGGCTGCAAAGAAGAAAAAAAAGAAAACCTGAGCTATGCATCCAGAGTAAGCAATTGACCTGTTATTTGTGAGGGACATAGCCA